GAGAGGATGTGGAGAGAAGGGAACTCTCATACACTGCTGGTGGGAGTGCAAACTGGTGCAGCCACTATGGAAAACAGTATGGAGATTCCTTAAAAAGTTAAGGCTAGAACTACCATACGATCCAGCTATTCCACTGCTGGGTATTTATCCAAAGAACATGAAAACACCAATGCTTAAAGATACATGCATCCCTGTGTTCATTGCAGCATTATTCACAATAACCGAGACTTGGAAGCAACCCAAGGGCCCATCAAGGGACGAATGGATGAAGAAGATGTGACATATATGCACAATGGAATACTACTTAGCCATAAGAAACGATGAAATTCAGCCATTTGTGACAACATGAATGGATCTTGAGGGTGTTATGCTAAGTGAAATAAGTCAGAGTGAGAAGGTGAAATATCATATGATCTCACTCATAAGTAGAAGATAAAAACAACAAGAAAAACAAATACATAGAGACAGAGATTGGATTGGTGGTAACCAGAGGGGAAGGAGGGAGGGAGGAGGGTGAAAGGAATGATTAGGCATGTGTGTGGGGGGATGGATTGTAATTAGTATTTGGGTAGTGAACATGGTGTAATCTATGCAGAAATAGAAGTATAATGATGTACACCTGAAATTTATACAATGTTTTAAACCAATGTTATGGCAATAAAAACAAAATCTGAAAAAAAACAAGGGCTGAAGTCACCTGCAAGTTTTATAATTTCTCAAAATTTTGTTTCCCAAAAATGCAGCTTAATATTGGATTTTATTTTTTGAAAAATCAAAGCCTGAGCAATACTTCACATTGAGCAATCCAGAGCTTAAAGTCCTAAGTCCACCCAACACTATTATTAGCCTTCATGTGACACTGAGCAAACCATTTCAGTTCTCTGACCCTCCATTCCCTTGTCCGTCAGCAGAAAAGAGTTGATAGCATTTATGAGCTCATTTAACTAAACTTCTTTGGATTCTATGACTCAAGAACCTTCGAATCACTGTGCACAAACACATGGGAAGTCACCAATATTTCAAGAAAAGCAGATCATCTCAAAGATAGATCCTGATCTTAGCTGCATTAATAAAGAACTGCCTGAGAAAGCTTCCTTAAATTTCAGATATCATAAGAGGAGAACTTAATCAGTGCTATAAAAGAGGAATAGTGAATCTTACCCACTGGAAACCTTATTTATAGCTGGACGTTTCTTTTCAACATATTTTCAAGCCACGTTATGAAGAAGCTTTTACAAAATAATCATACTAAAGGGAGGAGGATTGCTTGGGATGGAGTATAAGTCCATGTAAGGGAGGAGAATACGGGACGACAGAGTGTGGAGTCCTAGTGGACAGAGCCCAGAAGGTTTCCAACAACTTACACACACACACACACACACACACACACACACACTCACCTTTTTCACTCTTTCAATCCAAATAGATTTTTTAAACTATTTTAAAAACCTCTCTATGCAAAAGACATTGCTCTTTGCCTGGAGTAGAAGAAACCAAGAATTAGTGAGAATAGATACCTGATGTCAATAAATTTGCTCTGTGGAGAAGCATGGTGACGTTATGACCATGATCTTGAAGTATCTGAGTCACTCGGTCCATTAGGAGATGATGGCTTCCACCTAGGAACAAGGCACAACTTCATTTTTGTAATGATGAGAACAGATTCTGAGGTCAATGGGGTGATAAATCCAGAAGAGGAGGGATAAGGAAGCAGAAAGCTGATTGTGAGTAGAGAAAGATGGACTTCATCAGTCTCTCTCTCCATATGCATCTGGCTATACCCTAGCCCACTCACCCAGAGCCTGCTGGCCCAAATCCGTTTCCTGTGGCAAACCCCCATCAAAGATCCCTTCTTGTGACACTGGTCTCTATGTCAATGTGATGAGCTTCTTGGCACTTAGGCCTTAAAGAGTTCCTGATCCTAAGTTGCATGCTGCATTTTAGCTGGGGCCATATGGAGACATGGTGTACTAGAGACAGAAATGCACTGGAGGAAATTTTGGCACAGTGCTGTACATGTGAGTGTGAAGGGTCCTAATGGACAATCAATCACAGCCATTTCTGGAATCGTTCACTTTGGAAATTTATGCTACTCTAGGATCCAGAAATACAGAAGCTTAACTATGAGTCTAAGAAACAGCCATTGAAGCATAAGGACATGGAGCCACCACTTAGACCCCAATCCTTGAGATGCAAACGTGTTTGGCAGAACTTTCCTACTTGTGTCCTGAATTCTGCAGAACATCAAACTAGCACATTCAGGATAATTCTGGGGCCTGTGGAATGGGTCAGCAGAATCCTATATGCATGAAGACTGAGACATCACTTATCCTAGGACAATACTGGGATCTTAAAGAGAGAGAAGCTTGATCTTGGGGAGGTACCAGTTCCATCACACTAATGTCTTCTCTTAGACCCTGCTCCAACATGGGACCTTTGCTTGAATCTAAGGGTCTCAGGAGCAGAAAAATCCAGAACAGGAGAGAAGTGAAAGGGGAATTCCATGAGTGTGGAGACGGGCGTTAGAGGGCTGTAGTGCTAAAGAAAAGGTGTGTAGCTGTTTCTCAGTTTTTTACAACCAGGCTTGCACAGTCTGAAGCAACAAGGGAAGTATAAAGTACAAATGTCCTACATCTCATACCCACATTTTAGTCCATATTAGACCTGGGAGCCAGAAAGAAGGGGTGACCATACAAGCATCCAATCACGGAGGGTGTTGATAAGCCCCAGTGCAGAGAATGGCAGAGAAGGTCTTCCAGCAGCTCACAAACCACACCAGCTCCCTCTCAGCCTGAGGCTGGAGAACAAAGTACTTTCAAGAGATGAAGAAGCTGTTTTGCTTCATCACTGCTAACAATCAGAAAGGAAAAAAAGAAAAGTCTTTCTAATGGTGTTACCAGGTTTCTTAAAGAGTGATTATAAAAACTCCCCACAGAGAAGGGTGAGAGTGGGAGCTGTGGAGAGGATGGTCTTGCTGTAAAAAACGCTGAGTAAATTCATGGTGTCCGCCATTATGGAGGTCTGGTGTGCTCTTGTAAAAGGCGCCTCCCTTCCCTGACCCTAAGTTTCCTGCTGAGGAAAACACAGTGGAGGCTGAATTAGATGATTTATGGTTCCTTCCAGCTCTAAGATCCCCTGATTCTCGGTGATCTGAAAGTGATCTAAGAGAGCCCACTGTGGATTGAAATAAAGTTTTGGGAAACTGCTTCCTATCAAAACCACTTCATTGTGATGTATTTTACCCTTCCATCTTCTATTCCCAGCAGTGCAAAAGTAAAGGAAATAAAACAAAGGCCACAACGTGCACAGTTAACAGTTGCACAAGTCCTTCAAACACTTTCAGCAACAGGGTTGAAAGGAAGAGGGGCCCAGAGAGACTGGAATGTGCAGAGTCCACTCCTCACTCCAGTCAGTTCTCCAGGTTTCCCCTGGAGGAGAACATGCCAATGTCCTAATCGTCATTGAAATATCTTCCCTGCTCCACCTTGGGCTCCCATGCAGCTGAGAAAATTAGTGCTGCTGCCCCCAGGAGCACCTTTCTCTGGGCCTCCATGAGTCTGCAAACAGGAGCCACAGCCTCTACTGCCAACTGCTGAGCACCCCCCAGTGTTTAGGGGGAGCCTCTGAATGTCCAACCAGCAGCCATGAGGAAGCGGCCTGGGTCTCCTGCACTGGGCTGGATCTTAAACTTCTGGCCCCAGCCCTGTGTTATAGGTAGCTGGTCCTGGATAAGAAGAGAGAGGAAAGAGTATTTCTGTATTCTCCACAACTATCTTCACCTCGGTGGTGGTAGAGGCCCCTCTCTGCCTCCACAAATCAGCACCCACCCCTTCATCCTCCAGCCAGGGAAACAAACATGCCCAGTCTGAAAACCACATGGAATGACCCTCTGATCTAGGGTTATTTGCCTAAGCGCTGGCTCCCGTGCCTAGGACACTCCTGTCTCTGCATTCTTTGGCCAAGCACTCACCCACCAAAGACAGAGTTAGGATTTTGGCAGCCTCTGAGAGCAGGATTCCAGGCAGAAGGAAGCAGATAAGAAGGAGTGCCCATGGCCTTGCCATGCTTGCTCCTGTGCTGGGAGCCGTGTGCCCTACTCCACGAAAAGGGACTGTGTGCACCCCAAACACGTGGCAGGCAGGCACTGAAGGATTGGTGCTTACTGGGAGCTTGGGAGGTGGTAAGAGATGGATCCTGCCTGTCTCTCTTCTCCCTGTCCCCACTTGCCCTCTGCCCCCTCCTCCCTAGGTTCCTGCTCCATTGGATATTCTGCCCCCACCCTCCTATCCATGGGCAGTGGGAAGGAGGGGTTTGTGAGCTGAACCTTAACCCCTCTCTGTCCAGGTAATCACCACATTCCCCACATAGAAAATACTCTGAACCAGGAGTGATAGAAACCTTAGGAAATCACGTCGATGACAGCTCCACCTCAAAGTGACTCAAACTATCTCAGTTTCATTGACCCTTTCCAAACTTACAGCACTCCACCCCCAGTCAAACTGCTCTAATTACCTCATACCACCATCCTCACGCCCCATTTCCCCAGGGACCTGCTTATAATCTCTTCTAGTGTCCCAATCTCAAGGGACACTACTCCCTGGAAGTAGTGTCTACTCCTAGGGAGTAGTTTGTCTCTACCCTCAGGGAGCAAATCCCCAAGTCAAATCGATCTACCATTCCTGGATTATATCTCTGAGGGCCTCTTTTGTTTTATTTTTTTAACTTTTTATCATTTTATTGAGGTTACATTGGTTTATAACATTACATAATTTCATTGTATTTTGACATCTGTATAGACTGCATCATGTTCACCACCAAAAGTCTAGGTTCCATCTGTCACCATACATATGAAGCCCCCTACCCATTCTGTCCTCATCCCACCCCTTCCCCTTTTGTAATTGCCAATCCGCTCTCCTTTTCTTTGTGTTTATCTTCCATATATAACTGAACTCATACAGTATTTGTCTCTCCCTCTCTGACTAATTTCACTGAGCATAATACCCTGAAGCTCCACCCATCTTGTCATAAATGGCAGGATTTTGTCTTTTTTAAGGCTGAGTAGTATTCTGTTGTATAAATATACCACATCTTCTTTACCCATTCATACAGTGGTGGGCACTTGGGTTGCTTCCAAGTCTTGGCTATTGCGAATTAATGCTGCAATGAACAGAGAGGTGCATATATCTTCTCTACTTAGGGTTTTCTTGTGCTTTGCATAAATATCCAGAATTGGAACAGCTGGATCATATGGTATATCTAAATTAATTTTTTGAGAAATCTCCATACTGCTTTCTATAGTTGCTACACCAGTTTGCACTCCTACCAGCAGTGTATGAGGATTCCCTTTTCTCCACATCCTCTCCAATACTTGGTATTTCTGGTCTTGTTACTTACAGCAATTCTGTTGGGCATGAAGTGATATCTTCTTGTAGTTTTGATTTGCGTTTCCCTAATTATTAGTGATTTTTAAACCTCTTTTCGTGTGTCTGTTGGCCATCTGTATATCTTCTTTGGAAAAATATTTGTTTATATCCTCTGCCATTTTTTGAGTGAGTTGTCCATTTTTTTGTTGTTCAGTTGTATGAGTTCTTTACGTAATTTTGGAAATTAATTGCTTGTCAGATATATGATTTGCAAGTATTTTCTCCCAGCTAGTGGGTGGTCCTTTTGTTTTGTTGATGGTTTCCTTTGCTGTACAGAAGATTTTTAGTCTTCTGTAGTCCCATTTGTTTATTTTTCCTTTCTCTCCCTTGCCTGAAGATACCTGGTATTCAAAATGATACTGCTAAGACCCATGTCAAAGAGGTGCTGCCTATGTTTTCTTCTAGGCGTTTCATGGTTTCAGGTCCTAAATTCTTTAATCCATTTTGAGTTCATTTTTGTGTAGGGTAAGATAATGATCTATTTTCATTCTTTTGCAAGTGGCTGTCCAGACTTCCCAACACCATTTACTGAAGAGACTTCCTTTCTCCATTATATGTTCTTGGGTCCATAGCTGAAGATTAGCTATCCATAGATGTGTGAGTATATTTCTGGCCTCTCAATTCTATTCCATTTACCTATGTGTCTGTTTTTCTGCCTGCACCATGCTGTTTTGGTTACTATATCTTTGTAGCATATTTTGAAATCAGGGAGTGCAATAACTCCAGCTTTGTTCTTTTTTCTCAGCATTGCTTTAGCTATTTGGGGTATTTTGTTGTTCCATGTAAATTTCAGAATTCTTTGTTCTGTTTCTGTGAAAAATATCTTTGGAATTCTGATTGAGATTGCATTAAATCTGTAGATTCCTTTAGTTAGTATGAACATTTTAACTATGTTTATTCTTCCAATCCATGCACGTGGAATGTCTTTCCATTTCTTTATGTATTATACAAATTCTTTCAATAATGTCTTACAGTTTTCAGTGTATAGGTCTATCAACTCCTTGGTTAAATTTAATCCTAGGTATTTTATTCTTATTGTTGTGATTGTAAATGGGACTGTTTTCCTTATTTTGCTTTCTGCTAGTTCCTTGTAAGTGTATAGAAATGCAACTGAATATGCCTAAAAAACTAGAAAAAGAAGAACAATGCCCAAAGGCAGTAGAAGGAAGGAAATAATAATAAAAATCAGAGAGATCTCGAGTCAAGATGGCGGCATAGGCAGACTCGGAACTCACCTCCTCCCGTGGACACAGCCAATTTACAACTACTCGTGGAAAAATTACCCCTGAGACAGAACTGAAAACTGGATAAGAGGAACTCCT